TTTGCCCCTTGCGCGCGTGCTACTCGAGCTCATCTCCCCCCCCACCCCCCCACTCCGGGGAATGGGGGGCTGAGGGGGAGGGGGGGGGGAGGACCCCCTGCCTGAACCTTCAACACAGACCATGTAGTTCATCTGGCCTTGCGAATGGGGATTAGAAGGGAGGGGGAGAAACCCCAGAGTTTTCTGGCCACAGCTGACCCCTTGGGAGGGCCACATGCCTGTGTCAAAAGAGTCAAGATGGCCGCTGCAATTCTGTAATTGCTTTCTCCGTGCATCGGCAGCTTCAGCATTTATTTATTTATTTATTCGACTCGTATAGCTGCCCATCTCATCTAAGTGACTCTGGGCAGCTCCTAACAGCTAAAAAAACCCCACCAGATAGAAACAGATTAAAAAATATATACAGACATACACAAACCATCCACAAAACCACATTAAAACAAAAATCACACTGTCCGGGCCACCATCTTGACCTTTTCGACCTCCCCACCGAAACCCCTGGGCAACCCCGTTGTCCTTCAGTTCCTATTCCCAGCATGTTTTCCTGGTTGGCGTTCTCCCGTTCACGGACGCTGATGCCCGGCTTCACATATCTTAAACCCTGAAATGTGGTTAACAAAACAAGCCAAAGGCTCTGTTCATGTAACGTGCAACGTTGGAACAAACCACCATATTCTGGCTTAACACGATAGCTTGGGTCTGCTAAGCAAGGGCCGGGTTCCCACAACAGAACTCCCCCACCCCTTTTTAGCCTAGACTAAGATGCTGTGTGAATGCAGCCATCCTGTAACGGAAGAATGACCCGTTTTCTACTTTTTTCTCCCAAAGCTGTGGCTGGAATCGCAGAAGGCCCTGCCTGGCTGTATCTTTTCTTCACCTGGCCCTTCGGCCTCCATAATACCCCCCACCCCGTTTGAAGGGCATCAGGCTGGGGGAAGAGACCCCGGTTCTGTTGGTTCGAGCTCTGTTCCCCAATGCTTGTTGAGCCATTTTGGAAACTGAGATAATTTTCAGGAATGGTTTGCGGTGTGGAATGTGGGGCAGAGAGTCCAGTCTGCCCCACATTCACAATCTCCTTCCATCTTGCTTCCGCAAAACTCCTCTCTTTATATTTTAAAAGAGGTACAAATTCCACGGTGCGGGTTTTGTCTTAAACGTGCATTTTAAAAGCACGACAATCTTACATTTGCATTTTGTTTTCTAGGTATCTGTGTAGGTGTTTGGAGCCGTGTTGCAGCTGGAATGCAAACGTAGATATAAATTTAAGTTTTGATCTGGGTCGGAGTCCAGGAAAGCAGAGACCGGATCGGTTGGTTTAAATTAGAGGCTGAATGGAACTGATGTTCAGGAGCGTGTTTGCTCTTCAAAAGAAAAAGAAAAAGGAGAGAGCGAACCCAGAATTCCACTGAACGTTCCCAAAACTTCTTTTTGGCCACTGAATACCTAATAGTGGAATTCCACACAGGCTCTCAAAATCTCCTCAGTGGCCCAAACTCCATCCCACGGGATACGGATAGAAATTAACCCCATCAGAAACTGTATCTCAGTCCAGCGCCCTGATTCTGGATCTTCCAAACTATAAGAGGATCCAAAATGCACATACCTGACACATAAATGTGCACATCAAACTCCAGTCCTGCTTGACAAAAATGTGCACATTCACGAAACATTAACACACAGATGTAGAATTAGCAGATGCGCACATGAAATGCACACAGTTATTTGCGCAACGTAATCTCGACTCAGGTGACATACTGACGCAGGGAACATGCCGTAGGTAAAATGAAAACCCTGCTGAAAATCATGCCGTCTATCGAAACAAAATACGGGAAGATGTTTGGGGCAAGGAATATATTTTTCTTTAATTGGTCTATACTGGGCTCCCCATCTCATGGAAATGTTTTCCGGAACCTGTTTGCACAACTGGTTGCCGTTGACCGAACATCAGGGAAATGTTCAGTCAATGGCATCCAGGTGTGCAAACGGGTTCCGGAAAACATCTCCCTGCTCCACTTTATTATCTGCACTCTGCAGCCACCCAGTTTGGGAAATCAGAATTACTATAGAAAACAAGCTCAAAACCAGCTACCCACAGCAGGCGCCTCAGAATAAGGGATTACCTGGGATAATGCCCCAAAGAGAGCTCCAAACTGCAAGGCCAGCGAGGACGGGTCGGGTTGAACCTTCCGCAACGGGCCGCTTTGCAAGCCGTTTTCCAGCCCGTGATTCTTCTGCTGTGGACGCCTTCCAGGTCCTTAAAAAGAATCAGTGCACACCTTGGGATGCAAATAAGTATGGCGAGCAAAAGGCCCGTGTGACGCCCGCATTCATGCGCCTGTCGCGCAACGCAGTTTGAATTTGGGGTTGGGAGAAAATGGCGAAGGTCACCTATCGCAGGTTGCAAACTTCTGGCTGTACTTGGGAAAATCCTAAGCAACTGCACATCTTTGCATGAAGCTACAAAAGCTGCTTTGGGAATTCCTCCCCCCCCCCCCCGCCCCATGTGAATTTAATTCAGCATTAGTGGAAAGTTTTGTCTAAGCATCAGCTCCACAACCACCACCCCTCCCAGCACCGCCTTGTTCGACAGACATTATTACAAGAATTTTGCCGGGAGTACAGGGCGCTGGGCTGCATAACCATCACTCGCTCTGGTTCTTGCAAAGGGAACACGGATAGTCTTCGCAACCCTCACGCTTAAAGGTAAATATTAAGCAGAACAGCATACTTCAGCCAATGATTGACTAATGGCCATAAACCAGGGCAGAATATTGCTCTCTTGATGATGGTTGAGGTCAGAAGCCTGTCTCCACTACCCCATCCTGGGCAAAATGGGTCACTACTTTTAGCTGGGTTCTCCTGATTCACACATGGCTTGGAGCACCTTGGTTCAGCGGCCCCATCAGGTAAAAACCTGGACTGACGAGGCAGCCAGCAAATTCAAAAAAATCAGAAAGTGACTGAGAGAAAGAGAGACCTGCATCAGAAAAACAATAAAATAAAACTGTTTTATTATTATTACTTTATTAAAAATTTACACCACCCAATTCCCAGTGACTCTGTCTTTACCCCTAAAGAAATAGGTATCTGAGTTTAAGACACCCCCACACCAAAGAAACTTGGGATGGGAAAAAAATCCTTCTTGTATTACCATAGATTCAGTGAACCGCAGGGTGACTGTTCTGACAGTAAAGTATGTTGGGGGAAAATGCGAAAATCTTTCATGCAAAAATAGTTCGAAGGTGATCTGCAAGCTTCTGTTCTTCTTCTGACCTTGCAGTGCTGAGCACCACAAAGAAGGCCCCCTTGCACTGCCCCGAACTGCTCCGGGTTCTGCTGCAAAAATGAAAACAGAAGAAAAGTGACCCCCTCCCTATCCGACATGCAAAAGGAAACTAACATTCTTTGCCAGCAAATGTGTAGACCAAGGTTTCTCAACCTTGGCCGCTTTAAGCGTTGTGGACTTCAACTCCCAGAATTCCCCAGCCAGACCCAACAAACAATAAACTCCCGGCGAACAGAAGATGGATAGACTGATGTGGATAGATAGGTAGTTTTCCTGCAAAGAAAGAAGTTACAGATATGCAGAATATGTGTTTCCTGCATTTGTCTGCCATCAAGGCGACCCTGTATGTCGACACTCCAAGGTTTCCGTCCCATGCTTTCCAAGTCAAAGATCAAGGCCAGAGGTGGGCTTGTGTCATGACACTCTCACACCTGCAAATTGTAGCTCCCAGCCTCGCCAGCTGCAGCTCTCGTGCCGTGAGAGGGAGCTGCCAAGCTGCCAAGCTGCCTTTCCCCTTAAGAGACCCATAGGAGACCAGGAGGCAGGATGAGGTGGGGTGGGGGGCTGCCAACAGCAAAGCTGCCACATTGCAAAACAAGAAGCTCCCTGCTTCGAAAGACGCCGCAGACGAGCCAGAAATTAACTGTTTCAGTTCCACAAGGCAGCCGGGGTTGGCGGATCACGGAGGTCGTTTTCCTCCATTCCATGCTGGCTGTGGAATTCTGGGAGTTGAAGTCCACACACCTTCCAGTGGCCAAGATTGAGAAAGGCTGCTGTAGGATATCTGGAAGTGCTACCAGGAAGGTATGTGTGTATGCATGTATACGTAATAGTCCGTGAGAATGACCTCGGGAGACAGGAGGGAGAGCCACAGACTGGACAACCAGCATGTAAAAGGTGTCTCAACCCACACAAGGAAAAGGGACGTGGGAAGCATCTCAGAAGGGACTCTCCCTAGTTTTCTGGAGAGTTACAATAAAGATAGAGCTAGTACTCTTGGTTGTGCTTCTTGCCTGGACTATCTCACAGGGCTAACAATATTTATGTATTTAGAAAACGTATATGTTCGCCTACCTTACAGAAGATAATCCCAGGCGGCTCATAATAATATTAAATAAGAACAGAATAGATAAACCCCATGGTGACCACCACACATCCCAACCACGAGGCCACAACATCACATAAACTCTCCATCCTCCTACGTACAGTCCACCTTCCCGTAAGCCCTCAGAGCATAGGGTAGAGGTAGAGGGCTTGAACCTCTAACTGCCCAGAGTCACTGGGAGTCAGGCGGTATATAAATTTAATAAATTATGATTATTAACCCCATAGAAGAACATCTGGCTACCTGCATCTGATGGGTTCCAAGTAGGACAAAAGCAGTCCCATGGTGCCCCTGGTGGTCAATGGAGCTGAAAACACCATACAGGTAGTCTTCGTTTAGTGACTGCATTGTTTAGCGACCGTTTGCAGTTACGATGGTGATGAAAAAGTAACTTTACGGCCCATCCTCACATTTATGATCTTTGCAGGTCTGTAAAGCAAAGGAAAGCTGAAGCCAGATCGTAAGCACAATCATGGGTTCACTTAGCAACCACTTCGCTTAACGACCGAGTTGCCGGTCCCAATTGCGGTTGCTAAACGAAGACTACTTGTACCGGAGATACGTGGTGGAAAGAGGGGGGTGGAAGTCTTGTAAAACCCCGAACGTGGGGCCGTGACCTTATGCAACATCTGTATCTCTCTTCTGGGTCTTAAGGGTTAGCCCATTCTGAGACCTTCAGCATCCACCTTTCAGAAGCACCGCTGCCACCTGCCACCGCACACCTGCACAGGTGAGCAGGTTGAGGCTGCTCGCTTTCCACGCCGCTTGGCGTGTAAAGGGCCACCCCGGCCAAGCTCCCGGCCGAGAGCCGCCTGGCCGGAGGGGACGTGAAGGGGGCTGAAGGAAGCAGGAGGTGCAGCAGAGGAGGAGGAAACAGAGCGGGAGCGACCGAGGAAAGAGACAGGCGAGGCGCAGGCTGATCAGGCGAGCAGCGATTGGGGAGCCTCTGTGATCACGCTCCGGAAAGAGAGCAAGGCAACGGGGCTGCCGACAGACGCACCTGCGGAAGGGGGGCCGCGTTCCCATTCACAAGCCACGCACCGAGTCTGTGTCTTTCCCCCGCCGCAACCTGGGCTTTTCTTCCTAAATTAACTGTGGCACAAATCAAGCAGGGACCGGTGGGAAGATCGTGTTGCTGCCGAAATGTTTCTGCTTTTGGAAAAAGCCTGCCCGTCGTCAGCCAGATTCCAGATTGATTCTCCTCTTTTGCCATTATTTCTCTGCAAGCTGTCTCTGGGTTCTTCTGCAAGATATTGCTATCTGGGATGCCAGTAAACTCCTCTCTAAATTGCTTCAATTACAGGCAGCCCGTCCCATGCACCCTCTCGGCCATTGGTCCGCGGGCAAAACAGCGTCGGAAGCATCCAGAGCAGTTGCGGGCCGGCCCCCAGAAGCACATTTTACGAGCCGAACCCGACGGCTCCGACAGGCTTAGACTGCAGAAGAAGGCTGCGTCTTTGCTGTTAAGGGGCTGGAAACCCCAGCACAGCTCCCCACGTTCTCTGGGGCTTCTAGAGCAACCGCCCACAATCTGGGGAAGGCCACACGTGCTGAACTACCCTGCCCATCCTCCCCAGCTAGCACGGCAATGGCCTTGCTCTCATCCTTGGGGTTCCTTCCCACTCTACAATTCCAGGATAGTCGTGAAGGGGATTACCGTAACTCCGTCCAGCTGCATTCGCTCTCTTCTCGTGCCACCCGTCGCTTCGCCCCTCCAGCGCTGAAAAGCAACTTCGACACGAGTGCCGTTCTTTCTCGCTCGGGTAGCATCTTTAGAAGCCAGCCCAGCCAACACCTCCGCTGACGTGACGGCAAAGCTCCTAGAAAGGTGTGCGTAACAACGCTTCATCTTTCAAAGTGCCCCGAGGTCTTCCTCTGACTTGTGAGCAGAGATGATCGCTGGATCCCATTTTACAGCAGGGCGCTACTGAGGCTCTTCTGGCAGAACAGAGACCTGGGCCGACCCCGAGGCCCTTTCTCCTGCCTTGCCCCAGCCGGCCTCTTGGCGCCTTCGTGCCTTCCAGTCTTGCTAAGGGGGCCGAGGGACCCCGTCTGGCGAGGGACGTGATCGAGAGCAGGGAAGGCCAGAAGTCTCCAGGCTGCAGTTTTAGTCTGAGCCCATTCTTCACCAAAGACCCAAAGTGACCCGAGCCACACATTACATTCTGCCATACCAGCGACCAAGGGGGGTGGCGGGCAGCTGGCATCGTCCTGCCCCCAGCTGTCCCTGGGATCGAAGCCCAGACATTGAGAAATGGCGCAAGAAGGGGGCTGCCTGGTCGAGATTTCGAACTGGGCCGCCGAAAGCTCTCGCGCACCTGGCTGCCCCTTTATCCCTGGCATTCAGCCTTTGGACTGCTGGCCTATTTGCTTTCATTATTTAATAACGGCTCCTGGGCTTGGAGACCCCCGCAGGCTTTCCTAACATTTGCCTAGCCCTCTTCCGGAATACCCTAATTCTGCAAAGTATATTGCTCTGCCTGTTTATAAACTCTTCTCTGATATAGTCCATGCATGGGTTGTCTCTGTGTGTGTGTGTGTGTGTTACACAATTGACATGTCTTGGCTTAACACACACAGTTTTTCTACTGAGCCTGGTTTTGGGCTTTTATACCCTCGTAGGTGCCAACACCAACCTGGGCTGATTTTGAAAGCAAAGCAGGGTTGGGCCCAGTTGGGCCCTGGATGGGGGGCCACTAAGAAGTCCCAGGGCTATAGGCTAGACTGAGAAGCTGCGAAAACAGCCTGAAAGAAGAGGATGGCTACTGTGGTCAAGAATGCCACGTGGGCATATGACCGTGGAGCTTCACTCAGAGGAGATGGCCTTATCTAAGTCAGTGGCACCACCACATCTGGGATATTGGGCGTAGTTCTCATTAGGGATATCGTGGAGCCAGAGAAG